CAGGGAGGGATTACTTTAGTTACATGACTCCATCTGCAATAGAGTGACGATAGAACCAGTTTAATATAACACAATTTCATACAATATATAAAATTAGGGGGTCCCCGCTCCATCTCGCCTGGAAAATGTTGAAGACCCCTGTTGTAGGGCATCTAAGGCAGGAGCCTCTGCAGGAGGAGAAAACAGGTTAGTGACCACATCTATCTGGAAGTGGATGATAATGAACTTGTGAATCCCTAACCTGGTCTTATAGTTCAGTCCAAGCTCAGAGGGTGAGGTTGGTTCCAGCTGGTTGGCTGCCAATGCGACGCAGCGGGCACCACCTAGAGAGTCTCAGACGCTGATGTTTCAGTGGTCGGAGGACAGGAAGGAGATCTGAGCTGAGCAGAGGAAGGAAGGCAGGATAATCCAGAGGGCGAAGATGTGATCGGTACAGAGAGCCGGGAGGTCAGAGATCAGGTGAGGTGCTGAGGGAGAATAGTTCAAGGTTCGGCACACAGACGGGCAGAGATCCGGGGTCAGGGAAACGGATAAGAACAGGAACAGGCAGGCTCAGAGGTCCAGAGGCAGACAGGTCAGAATCAAATTACAGGAACGCAATAATAATTCTCACCGATGGCTCGAAATAATCTGGCACTGATGACTGGTCTGAAGGCTGGTTAAATAGAGACTAATGCAGGTGGAGCAGATAAGCAGGAAATGAGAACTGGGCGGAGCTAAGCAGGTGTGTGAAATGAGTAATCAAACCAGATTATCGTTCCCAAGGTCACGACAATTTCAGTATTTTGTGATTGTCTGTTTTTGCAGTGAAACATCTGAACACTGAAGGCTTTAAATGTGAGAAGCACCGTTTATTAGCAGCCTTCTGAATCTGGGTCGGAACCACTGAGATCTGAACACCTGGGTGTTCACACGGATGAGAAGTGACAGAAACTAGAAAATACTGTAATAAATATGGCGAACAGAGGTGAAAATAAATAGCATAATAAAGATAAAATGACAAGAAATAAAAATGTTGGAAATGAGGAGACCTTCCTCTCTACAGTTTAGCCCCGGCGGCGACACCGAAATAAAACTCACTTCATAAGGTTATTGGGATGGATCCCCTGCAGCAGCTCATATTGCAGGGAAGACCTCTCTGATTAACTGTGTGTGTGGGGGGGGTGGTTGTGTGTCGTCTTTATTAGTCTGCAGAGCAGCTCAAAACAAACACTGGTTGCATTGTTTTATTCTCTGGGTCATAAAATGACACTTCTCATTTAATGAAAAAGATGCAACAATGTGGAATATATATAAGGAAAGATCGGAGCTGCTTTAGTTTAGATCATTTCTAACTGTAGATCATTCCTGCTTCTTTTCCAAAACGAGTCAAGTCTGTAACCGGAGCTGTGGTTAGAACCAGTTCCTAACCGGTTCTTAATGTTTTCCACAACTCTAGAGCCAAGTTGGAGCCATGTCTCATCCAGTTAATGGTTGATCCTGATTTACTCTCTGTTGTTGTACTGTAGCGCATGGAGACGGTTCAGCTACACAAATCAAACTATTTTAATCCCCTTGGTAAACAACAAGCAGAGCTGTTGAACATCTATTAATGCCAAATCAGGACTGCTGTGTTAATGGGTGTTAAACACAGCATCTTGTTAACACCTCCTGGCAAAGCTTAAAACCAGCGTTTGCTGACTGAAATGGGAGAAAATCAGAGGAAGAGATCAGCTGTTAGCAGAGCTCCTCATTCCGCTTTGACCCACTTAAAGTCACTGACTGGGGGCGTCAAAATAAAAAGAGAACATCAGAGACAGTGAGGGTGTGTCGTTCATCTGTGTAATCTGATGTTTTATTGAAGCTGAAAGGCTGTTTTTACTCGGTCCTAAAATGGAACAATGTGTCAAAGCGTTTTGATTGGCTGTTGGTCTCTGAACTCCCGATGAAAGTAGTTCTTTCCTCTGGCCTGGCTTAGACGTGGTGCTGATGAGGAAAAGCTTCCTTGGTCTCAGGGCATCAGATCTCTGCGCTTGAAAGTCCAAGAAGCTGCGGGGAAGCTAAGCTAACACTAGAACCGGTTCAACACAGGAACCAAATGTGAATTTAGTGTTGCTTGTGAAGATTCTCAGTCATCCAGGTCATAGTCAGCCAAAAAAAGTTAAGAAACAATCCACCGGACTTTGTTTCCGAGTTTTAAGACGACCAAATATGTGCGGAGTCGTGTCTGCAGGTCAATGCAGGGAGGAATGCTCTGATCTTTATTAGAGGTGTAAATCACATCCATCATGGCGATTCGATTCAGTATCGATTTCCTGACCAAACGATTCGATTATTTTCGATACTCAAGAATACACCACAAGTGGAGGCCATTTGAGTACAGTGAACTCATTGTCA